CTCAGTTGCTAAACCTGATAGACGCAAAAATTCATCGTAGCTCCATCAGGGACATCTTTGTCGTGTTGTCTACAGTTATTTTTTATTCGGAAAGCTGCATTCTTTACCTCAGTTATGAAATCACATCTTGCAAACGAAACACAGTAGTTGGACTTAGTTGAGCAGACCTCAGAACACAATTGCATGACTTGTGCAAAATGTTGAAAAGTGATATTTTCGTCTTTCATTTCAAACAGACATAAATGAATGTGCTGAAGACACAGATGAATGTCATGAGCAGGCCACGTGTCAAAACACTCTCGGAAGTTATCGGTGTATGTGTAACCAAGGATGGTTTGGAAATGGGACATTTTGTTCAGGTAAACGTTCTTGCAAAGGTTTATGTCTATACAGTCAAACAAATCATCACTAATAGTTGGAAGGTCCCTGAAGTTATAAAGTTAAGATGTTTAAAAATCAGGCCTAATTAGCTGTCAAATTCCTTTTCATAGGAAAAATGAAATTACGTGGAAATTTAATTAAACAAATGGCCTTTCTAGAAACATACCAGGACGTTTTGAAGCTTGGCACACGGTTCGATTTAGTCGGCCGATTTTAACAGTACAATTGTTTCATTAATTACCCAATTATGATTATTATGATTTTGATTATTATGATTTGTTTTATTAATTACCCAATTATTATTATTTTATTATTATTATGATTGGAGCATAAATATAGTTTGCAAAGCTTATAAACCACAGTGTCACAAGATGAATTTTGATTGTGAAGAATAATCGATATACTGGAACACAACGGAAATATTCAGCCGATAAGAGTCGGGATTAAATATTCTTTTATGCAATTTTAATTATACCGGATCCTTCTTGGTCTTGTTCAGGTTCAACATTTATATTCGATTTCGGTAAAAAAAACGAGGCCGAGAAGGCTTTATAAAATAATTTATAAATTTAAGTTCTTTGAATGTTTGCATGGCGATAAAATATAATTGTTTTTGTTTGTGGAAACAGCACGTAAATTTATTACTGCAAAGCTTTCGATCCGTAAGCCCGGATCTTCATCAGTGCTAATAATATGTGACTTGTTTGTGACTTGTTTTAATATGTGACTTGTTTCTTGTTTTCTTGCTAATAATATGTGACTTGTTATGACGCGAGCCAACAGATCACGACACTCTTGTATATAAAAAGAGCGTGTGAATTAAACAAGTCACATATTATTAGCACTGATGAAGATCCGGGCTTACGGATCGAAAGCTTTGCAGTAATAAATTTACGCGGTGTTTCCACAAACAAAAACAATTATAATTTATAAATTTATTATAGTAAAAAATATTTTTAAAAAAGTGTAAAAAATATCCCGGTTTATCATCAGCGCCCGCATCCATTTTTCGTGCCGCATGGACTTTTTCATTTTTTATTTTTAACTAAAAATCACTATTTCCGGCGGATCGTGCGAGGAACCCACGCGAGATTTTTACGATGATCGCCCATTTTGAAAACACGAGTTCATATTGACAACGTGCATGCTATTGCGCTTGGGCCTTGGCAATTGTAATATTAATGAAAAGTGTAATATACAGTAGCCATTGAAAATATTATACCATACAACTGTGCTGCGTGTTTGAGCATATTTATTCCGTGCACCTACTAAATGTGATTCGGTAAATATTAAAAAATATCCGCCCGCCGGCACGAGTTTTTTCTGCTGCCACTTATGATAAACCGCGATATTTTTTACATGGCCTAAAAAAATATTTAAACCAATCTTTATTATTGATGGGCAAATAAACATGCTTCCAACTCACACCGCTCATCCAATAGTATTACAGAGATTATCGCCCATATTCTAAAAGCTCACTCACACTCAATGAGTGGAGGTTCAATCTGAGCTTCTCTTGAGTGTCAATGCTGTTTTTGAATAGCTGGAGGGTTAGTGTCGTACCTAAATATGCGACTACTCACCCTCCAGCTATTCAAAAACAGCATTGACACTCAAGAGAAGCTCAGATTGAACTTCCACTCATTGAGTTTGAGTGTGAGTGAGCTTTTAGAATACGGGCATATATGTTTGGTCATTTTCACCGTTTTCGCTGAGCTTATTTATTTTGCCATACTAAACTCAGTTGGAAAAATCTCGGAGAAAAACAGTCGCCTCAGTATTTTGGTTTTTCACAAAAAACGCTATGGAAATTCAACAGGCTGTCGTGCATCATAACCTTAGCTATAATTCAATTTTCACATAGGACGAATGAGCTGTTATTTAGCTTCTCTATGATACCTTTTTTAAATTGTAACGATGAGAAATGGCCACATATACACGTCAAATAAAATTGCCGGTCGAAATCACATTCTTCCACCTTTGGGAATTGAAAACACATTAATTATGCAAAGTTAGTCAATCCAAAAGCACCGCGAGCCTGCTGCAAGCAACCTGCAAGCTGTTTGTTTCGTAAAATGTTTTGATTACGAATCTTCTCTGTTTTATGGACGTTCTCAATGAGTCATTGTGGCCATTTATCATCGTTACGATTTAAAAAGAGTATTATTGAAAAGCTAAATAACTGTTCTTTCGTGAATTGTTTAGCCACGTTTATGATGCACGACAGCCTGTTGAAATTCCGTAGCGCTTTTTTTGTGACACCCTGTATATTTCTCACACGCACCATTTTTGAAGACTCCTGCTGCAAAAATTTGAATAGATGCACAACTGAGTATAGTCTTAATGTTATTTTTGACCACGAAATGCTGTCAATCGTTTCAATTAATTAAATACGTTAAATTTATTTTTGTTGTTTAGATATCAATGAATGTGACCAAGTCAATGACTGCCATACTAATTCTGACTGTATTAATAATGTCGGATCTTATGATTGCCGATGTAAGCCCGGTTTCAGAGGCGATGGAAAGACTACGTGTGACGGTACGTAAATTATAATAGCAATCGTTGGAACAATTTTTCTTTATATGCCATTTCTCGTGTAAAATTTTTGTACCCACGGCGGTTAGTGAAACCATATATAGTAGAAACTCATAATCATGCAGGATGTTTTCAGCGTATTCAATCTTGTTCAAAATTATGACATCACTAAACCCAAAATAACTCCACCCGATTAAAACGCTTGGAAATGTTCTACATTGTAGTATATACATGCATCATACATATACTCGAACCAAATAACGTTGGTGACATTGGCCAAATGGTAACATGGCCAAATGGAATCACAAATCACTTGTTAAAACTATAAACTTGCTACACTGTAAAATTTCATTTGGGAAAACTCAACCGGATATATGCACCTGAGACAACCAGTTTGAAAAACTATTTTCATAATCGATCGCAATTCGTTCAGTATAATGACACATTATCAACCTTTAAATCTATTCGGTGTGGATATTATATATCAATGATCTATGTAATGTTAAAAATGTACTTGAATTAATTCTGTTTGCTGATGACACGAATCTATTTTATTCCCATAAAAACCAATCTTCCTTAGCTAATGTAATTAATCGTGAAATTGATAAGTTATCTGAGTGGTTTATGGCAAATAAATTATCATTAACAAGCTCGCTTCGATCGTAACTGGCAAATCTGATAATTGACTTGGCGGTTTGTGGTACCACTGAAGAGGAAGTTCGGTCGAAGCCATGACCGT